AGATGGAATTCCAGAATTCGTGTGTGTTTGAGCCCCTTGCTGCTTATGACAAATTATTACCAGAAAATGATCATCTTTGGCAATAAATTGCTAGTAAAAACTATAAAGGAAGAAAAATAGAGAATAAAAAGAGTCCCAAGATTTAGAGAAGCTTGTTGATTCTGGATCCCAAAGTGTGATTAAGACCGGAAAGTATGCACACACACACACACACACACACACACACACACACACACACACACACACAAGGAAAAAAGACCATTAAGAATTAGATACTGAAACTCAACCCTGCAACCCTGCAGTAAAGCTCAAATTAAGGGTGGAGCCTTTCCAACTAAACCAATTGTTCAGATGATCTAAAGGTCCAAAGAAAGCTATTGAGATAAGAAAGCAAGTAATTTAGACTCCAGAACAAGCTCTAGGAACAAACTTTGGGTGTGGCCACCGGCATTTGGAATTTACTGGAAGCAAAGAAATGGGAAGATTATTGTTACTGAGGGGATCGCATTACAAAGATCTCAGGCTCAAACAAATAATCTCTGGTTGGCCACACCTTATCTTTTTGTCCTAAATTTGTCTGAGCAGGAAGTGGGCTATGGAGGCTGGACAGTCTTTGTCAGGGTCACTCTAGAAGCAGTCCCATTGATAATGAGTGAGGAGGGCTCCCTTAGAGAGTAGATAGGAGACCCTAAAGGCAAAGAGTCCCCCCTCCAGAGTGCAAGACAAGGGATAACAAGGGCTTTAGCCTGCCAGAGAGAGAATCTTTACACTGCTCACTGTTAAGTAAAACAGTAAGTATTTCCTCTTCCTTTCTTTTTTGTGTGGCAGGTGCCTTCACTGCTGTTATCAAGTTCTTGTTCCAACCATGGATAGTGGATCTGATAAAGCAGAAGTTCTCAACCTGTGGGTCATGACCCCTTTGAGGGGCAAATGACCCTTTCACAGGGTTGCCAAAGACCACACAGATATGTACATTATGATTCATAACAGTAGCAAAATTACAGTTATGAAGTAGCAACAGAAATAATTTTGTGGTTGGGGTCACCACAACATGTATTAAAGGGTTGCAGCATCAGGAAGATTGAGAACAACTGTATTAAAGGGACAGATAACTGGCCTTTTAGCCAATAAATTGCTGAACCAAGAGGAGCCCCATGAAAAACTGGCCAAGAGCTTGCATCATCTTGGTCTAGCATCCTAGACTTTGAGTTAGATATTGACTATTCACGTCAACTCAAGTCAGCAGATGCTCCCTTTGTAAACTTTGTATGCTTTGTAAACTCTGCTAATGTTCAAGGTGTGCAAGTGGCCAGGCCTCTGCCTGAAGAGCTCCATGGCCAGGCCCCACCCCCAGACTTCTCTAATGGTCCTAACAGCCAGGCCCGGTACTACAAGAAAAAAAAAATCTCACTAGTTCCTGAGTTTGCCCCAAAAATCAGGCCACATAATCCCACCAAACACAAGCCATCCTGAAAAGTACCCCCCCCCCAAGAAACTATATAAACCCCGCCTTCTGCTCATTTCCCTGCTTCTTCTCACCTGAGCAGGGGCAGCCACACTCCTGGGTTTTTCCCTCCCAATAAGTCTCTGGGCGAGGTTTGTTGTGCAGTGTGACTTTGTGGTATTCCTTGACTCCCAACTGCTTGGATACATTTTTATTCAAGCTGTAACACTCATGTAAAACAGAGTGATTGAGCAAGAGTCCAGTGGGTTATCTTCTGAAAGAGGGAATGAATGTGGCCTCTATGTGGGCAGAAGGGTGGTAATGGACTATTAGTGTCCAGAAGAACTGTAATAGACCTGCAAGTGTTTACTAAGACTTCATTTGCTAAAGATTCATTTAGTGCCATAAGCAGGCAATGCCACTGACACAGACCAACATGTTCCAGTCTTTCCACAGGCCAGTGTTAATCCCACCAATTGAGAATGAAACCATTACCGCAATTTAAAGCCAGATTTGAAGCAAGTTTTAATTACATGCTGGCCAGGTGGATAGACTCTGGCTAGGTTCATACCTGGGTTCCCAGGAAATGACCACCAGTCATGTTGCAAGAGGTTACAAAGCCATAATGCACTGCATATCCCATCAGGTCCCGTCATGGGCAAGCCCATATCCTGACGTATTTCCTGCCCACGCACCTCCCACCCACATGTGATCAGGCACAGCTGGTGCAGCTGGGTCAAACAAGCGTGGAACTATCAGGAACTCATTCTTAACTGTCTTAACTGTAAACAGAACCCTTAACCTGCAAGGTATATTTTTCTTGTCTTGCTCTTCCATTATCTTGCAAGGTGTGTTCTTGTTCCTGTTCCTGTTTTGGTCTCATAGTCAGACCTTATCACATATCAATAAAGCCATATGCTTGCCACATCAGTTTGATTGGCTTTACTTCATCATAGTTTCATTTGGTAGTTGCTACTATGAAATTACAAATTCTTTATTCCATTTTTATCATTTTTCCCTTTGTGGTTTATGTGTCTGTGTGTGTGTCTGTGTCTGTCTGTCTGTGTGTATCTATGTCTGTGTTTGTGTCTGTGTCTGTGTGTGTCTGTGTCTGTCTGTCTGTGTGTATCTAT